TTTACTTTCAGTTCCGGGAGGAGATTCTGATATCAGAGTTTTCAAATTGTTAAGACGGGTTGAAATCATGTAAGTTAGAGGATTGTTTTAGAATCTACGTATCTTTCTGTTTCGTGCAAAAAATACGTATCTCTGACAGTCGTAAGTTGTTGCTTTAAAATGGATATTTTTAATAATAATTTAATTTTTTTTATAAAAATATAATATTAATTAGTACATTAGTAGCTTCTAAAGCGAAAGATACGTAGTTTCCAAAACAATTCCTAACTTATCTGATTTCTAAAACAACGTGGAAGATAGGTAACTTTCTAAATGTTTTTTAAACATACGTTCTGTGACAACCCGGACACGAGATTTAATTTAAAAATGAGTCGGTTGTGAAAATTTTCTCTAGTCGTGAGTATGACTCGTATCGGGAGCACAACGATGAGATTTACACAAGATGTCTGTGTGTAGGTGAAAAAGGTCCACTTGGCTGCAGTGAACGATGCCTCGCAGATTACGGTGCCATGCGATTACACCTTAAATGTAATTTGATAAACAACTCATTAAGCATAAAAGATGTTGTACTTCACCGAGGCCAAAATATGTTGTTTTACGCAGCAGAAAAAGTAAATATTAAGTGAATGGTAATCAAAAAAAGAACACTTCCCTAGTAGAAATTTGTCATAGTATCTTTAAGGGCACTGGACAGTTCCACTGGAAAATTTCGAGGCACTTTACAGTTAAACTGGCTAAAAACTATAAAGTGATGTCACGCTAATTTCTTCAAGTTATTGTCCAGTCAAATTTTACAGTTTCTGATCATCAGTCCTGTAGAAAAACTATACAAAATAATTCACTTGGAAATGTCAAAACTTTCTTTATATTGACGTTACGTATTAAACACGTACAAATTTGAAAATATAACGTTAAATTTTTTTGTCAACAAATTAAATAAATTAAAATTTTACGAAACTATATTTTTACTGTTGGTGTATCTATTGTTCCGTATAATAAATGATTTATAATAAATTATCTGTAAAATTATTTTTAAATAACTACATAATTAAAAAAAAATATAAAAATTACTGATTCTTGAACACATGTCATTTTTTTACATTAAACAACATTCACTTTTTCCTTTAATTAAGCACAACACTGAAATAAATATTATTATTTTATCACACTACAAACTTATAAGTAAACCCTAATATGAAGAATTAATTCAGTTCAAACGAAAAATATCTAGCGGTTTCGGGGAGCGAACTCGGGTCACACTGGGACGAAATACCTAAACGCACGCTTTACGCATCACGGCCGTTCTAGTCGATGGACGATTCCGGAAAAATAAGAACCATACTCTACCGGCAGGTAAAGCAGTTCCCTTTTTCATCTTTTCTAGCTCAACTGGCGAATTACTGGACAGCTACTGCATAACACTCTAAAGTTGAACTTATTGATTATTACTGTATAGAAGTTCTGTCTGTCCAGTTATTCTCATGGTACTGTCTAGGCGTTCCGTGAAATTATGTTTCAAAGTTTGTCGTGGCGTTAGCGCTACCGTCAGTCCAGCAACTGAACAGTGTTGTGTAGACATTTTCCATAAATACATCAGAGTATACACTGAAAGAAATAATTCGCGGGTGTAACTAGAATTATGTCTATTTTTTCCGTAAGGAATTAGTAATAAATTGTTACTGTCTACTGTCATTAATTATAGACAGTTCTGTTATTCAGATCGGAGAGCTATACATATGTCAACGTCAATTCATCAATGTAAAACATAACCTCACTTTATTGGACCAATTCTAACTTTTTGTATGTAACAGGTTTGTTAAATTAATATTTATACATATAATAAGAGTATATAATCTTGAAAAGAAATTGTCTTCTGAATTTAAAAAATTAGTTATTTTAATTAACTCAATTAATTGAAGCGAATTTTAAAAAAATTTTTTTTTTCTAAAGGAATTTTCATTAAAAATAAATTTTGATTGAAAAGAAATTTTTATTATTAAATCAAAATTTTAATATTAAATAATTTAAAAAATTTGTTATTTAGTTGTCAACAGTAAAATAAAAGAACAAAATTAAAATTATAAAAACTATAAACTGTAAAACCAAAAGATTTATTTTATAGAAAATATTTCGAAAATGTCAATACACAACTGTTTAGTTACTGAAACTGGCGGTAGCGCTAACGCCACGACAAACTTTGGAACATCATTTCTCGGAACGCCTCGACAGTGCCATGAAAATAACTGTACAGGACTTCTATGCAGTAATAACCAAGTTCAACTTTATATTTTCTTTAACAGTGTTATACAGTAGCTGTCTAGTAATTCGCCAGTTAAGCTAGATTAAACTTCCATGACTAAAACTGTACAGTAACTTGAATAAATCTAGTCATGCCACGACAAATTTCTACTAGGGTTACTCTCAACGTTTTCGGTAACATATATGGACCTATAATTCAGTCGTCAAGCACTCTAGCTCAAATATTTAATTTGAATCGATGCTGAAATTTGCCTTCACCATGGAGGAATGGATTCTCCAAATTATAATGATGTTCACTATGAATGTTGAACATTTCATTCCTTGTGAAAGTACATTCATCGGTACACAAAATGAACGGCACCTGTCCTTCATTTGCCAGTAACCACCTACTAAATCTTCGTCTTTTTTATAATCACGACGTTTCAGATTTTGAGCATTGGTTCACTATAGTTTGTAACGCGATATTAATTAATTGAATAATTCGCATCTATCGGTTTTGATCAAACTTTATCCAACACAAGTTCTTCTTGACGTAAATTTCTAGCATTTAAATCAGCTCTTTCAGGATGTTTTGGTTCCACACGTTCAGTTTTCCTTAATCTCTTATCTAATCGTTGAAATGTTACGAACCAGGGTAATCTTCTTCTCTGTAGTCCATACAACTCTCTATATCGTTCTTCCTCTGCCCGCGTATTTCCCAGACATTCTCCCAGAATAAGGTACATATCGCAGTACTCTCCCCTTTCGAATAATCGTGCTCTTTAAATATTCAATAATTTATCAAGACTGTTTTGGTTTATGTTATTTTCTACTGCCCACTTTCTTAATTCTCTCATTTCTGGCTCTCTATCTAACTCATTTTCAATCTGCTCTAACGGAACATCAGAGTTATCACTACTGTCATCTCCCTCATCCTCACTCACATCTGGAGAAAAATAATCATCGTCAGCATTTGATTCCAATTCTTCATCGGTGATTTCTCCAAAAGAGTGATCAGAATTTTGTTGATCTGCAATAAACAATTTACTTAATAAGTATATATCTTGTAAAAGTTTAAAGTCAAATTTTGCAACATTTCTTCAAATTATGCAAATTTTTGTAAAATTAGTTCCATTTATTTAAAATGTTGTTTAAAATTATATATTTTTTATATTAGTTAATTTTTTTTAAATTAATTAGACAGTGCACATTTATTTATAGTAAAAAGTAGTTAAATTTTTATTTTTTAAACTAGATTACTAACAATAATTTACACAAATTAATGTTTTTAAGCAAAGAACTATAATGTTTAAAAAGTGTTAAAGGTTTTGAAAATTTGTTGGATTCTAAATACCTTAAAGTAAAATATATAATTAGTTTCTCATACCATATATATACTAGCAAGTTCAATTTGATCATCTTGTTCATCCTGTTGAAGATCTATTATTTCTGGAGAATATGTATTTCCGTTGTTAGGTAGAATATCAATCAAAGAGGAAGAATCACTACTATTTGAAGATGATAAATCTTCAATTACATCCTTTTTCCCAAACGAAATTTTTCATCCTGATACGAGCTTGATTAGCCAATTTACGCTTTTTTCTCTCATCATTATCCATATCAACTAAAAAAATAATTCTCATTATATATTGTTATAACAGAAAAAATATTCTTCAATTCATTTTTCGTATTTCTTCTACGATTAGAAATAAATAAAAAATTAAAATAAGTAGTTACAATATGTTTCAAAAAATAGTATTGTATTATATTGTCAATTCTATAGATTTATAACCTAAAAAATGATAGAATTCACTAAAATTATGTTGAAATCATATACATGTTAACATGCATAAATAGTTCAATTTTTTATGTGTACTTACTGATAAATAAATATTAATATTCAATTTATAATTAAATATCAGTATCTTTATATTCAAAATACTAAAATTATTAACACTAAAAATTATGCTAAAATCATATACAGATTTACTTACATAAATAATGCAAGTTTTTTAGGTGATACTTACTGATAAACAAATATTATTATTAATTTATATCATTGAAATCATTCACAATTCTGTTGCACGCAATAAATCTTCAAGATTCGAAGGTTATGTTGTGTATACGTATAATACGTATAATATTAGGGACCCTATTCGTACTGACTGGAACCATTATACATAGGGGGTTTATTTCGTGTGCCACAATTATGTTATCCAGGAAACTGATTCGAACCACATCGGGACCCAAGAATAATTATGATATAATTTTATTGTTGAAGAAAACTATTGCGGGCCATATAAACGCCCTATTATTAATAGGGACTATAATGGTAATTTCTACACGGGTAAATACAGTTATAAAGAAATTACTAAAAAGTATTTGGTTATCAGAAACTCAAAACTAAAATTAAAACAAAATAACCAAAAATTTGTCATTACTGTTACTAATTTATTTAATAATTGAATTGCGATACTTATTCTCAGTTTCGCAAGTAACTTAAAGCAAATGATTGACGTTGCATTTCTTTTTTCAATCTTTACATTAACATAATAAAATCTGAAAAATATCAAGTCATAAAACAAATTACTATTAACTTTTATATGTTTATCTACTTTGGTTTTAAATCTGGCTACAGATTACGAATATGTGGCTTTGAAATCCCTCGACTAATAAGCTTCAAGCAAAATATTTGTCAATTTAATTTATAACCTAAGACAGAAAAACTTATGCATTACTTTATGAGTGATAAATTTTTACAGTTTGGAGAAGATAATGATAATCAATCATTTTTACTTGAGATTTCTTGGGATTCTAATTATCCTACAAAGAAGCCGATTATCAATATGAATACTTTTTATAATAAGCATATGTAAGTATAAATTATATCTATAAATTTAGCCTTTATTTCAGCTAAAAGTGTTTCGGAAAATTAGTACATGGTTCATTTGAAAGCTAATTTCATCACCTTTAAAACTCATTTTTAAAATATTTTTAACTACAAATTTTAGAAAAATAGGGCCATTTTAAAAAAAATTATCCCTTTTTAATTGTTGATAACTAAAGACTTCTCCCACGCATTATACGTTACGACAAAAACTAATGATTAATTCTCTAAATTCTAATACAATTTATACTTTATATATACCAATTGATTCGTCTTGACGCAAAGGATAAGATTTTATGAATATATTAATATTAAGAATATCATTTGAAATAAAATTTAATTCTTAAAATTCACAGTATTCAGGAAGTAAAAGATAAAATAGTATCACATATTGAGGTTGAAGCTGACCAATGGCTAGGATGTGCTATGACTTACACACTTTTTCAATCGGTACAGGAGAATCTTCCAGAGTTATTAATTGATCAACCCACTGCTATTACTCACATTGAACCTTCAACGTCTAATATTAAAGAACCAGTTGTTATAAAGGTATAAATGAAATTTTTTCTTTAAAAACGAAATGCTTGATATGAAAAACGAGAAAGGTAAAATTAAACCAAATGTAAATGTAATATAAAGTTATTACATTTTAGTTTAAATCAGTTTTTCTATTTATTTTGATTGTAAAAATATTCAATTTTCAAAAAACCACCATGACTTGAAAAATTGTTCAAAATGAAAAGAATTTTACTAATTCCTCTTAAATGTCTCTTAAATTTGTATTTAATCTCTATTTTATTATAGGAAGAGGTTGAAAAGAAACCAAAACAACAGTTAACCAAAGCACAAAAGAAAAAGTTATGGAATCGTACAGATGGAAAGAATGAAAATCCTCGAGGTTGGAATTGGGTAGATGTGGTAAAACATTTATCTCAAATTGGGTACAAAGAAAAAGATGAATCATAATTTAAATTGTTTATTCTACTGATAGATGTATGTGTTTTATGTTTTTGCAATATTTCAAATAAATTACCTATCAATTTTTATACAAAGTTTTGTATTTTAAAGTTAACACGATGTAATATTGATTATTATTAAACTTGTATATACTGTCTCCAATTGTTATAAATGACTTTATATAAGGAAATCTCACGAAATGGGAACAAATTAGGTACTAGGATATAACTTACAAAATAAATTCTTTTTTGTCAAAACAAGTTTCTATAACCCTATTGAAAATCCCCACATGGGAATCACGGCCGTATAGTGAATTTGCTACGCTCATTTTTAATTAATAATTAATTTAATTAAATATATTTTTTTTATCATTAAAAAAGAATTAAGAAAAATTAAACAATAGAAATAAAGTGAGAATATTTAATTGTAAAAAAAAGACATGGCGCGAGAAAAAGTTGTTTCGTGTCTAACGAAAAAACACAAGAGCACTCACTTCTCTCTGACCCGTGATTTGAACAACATGTTCTAATTGTATTCTCCATATACGTTAAGCGAATCACAATAAAGAAAAAATATAATTACTAATTAAATAAACATTTTTATTTAAAGTATTAAATAATTACAATAAATTAAATTATATATATTTTCTACAAAATAAGAAGAAAATCTCATCAGACTTCTTCAGTTAAGAAAAATCTCCGTTGAAGATTCTCCACCTAAAGAAAACTCCAGGTTCTTTCTCTACTTTCTCTTTCCTAATCTTTTCTTTCTCCTATTTTTACGATCCTCTCCGTAGGATCGAAAAATAATCTTTTTTCTTATTTTTTTTCACGATCCTCACGCACGATCGGAAATTAACCTTTCCTTTTATTTTTCCTTCTTCTTTCTCGATCCTCTCCGCAGGATCGGAAATTCTCTAATCTTTTTTCAAAAACTCATCCTTTTTTCAAAATTCATTCTGTTTTCTCTATTTCACGATCCTCTCGCAGGATCGGAAATTAACCTTTCTTTCTTTTCTCTTTTTTCTATTATTTCTCGATCCTCTATGTAGGATCGGAAATTAAATTATTCAAAAACAACAAAGAAGAAAATTTTGGATAACAAATTACAAATAGGGGCTTTTGATTCAATATGAATACGCATAACACACTTCGAAATAGGAACACTTAAAATAGATAGGAATTTGTTATTTATTTTTAAAGTTATAACTAAAATATTTCTAGAATTCAAAAATAAAAAGATTTTTATTCATAAATCCGAATTTGCCCTAATTACGTCCTAAGGACATTTTATGTCCCAGTGCCTGCTGAAGTCAAATTTCAGTTCTATTAATATTTTCACTGCACCCTTTATATTGAACATTTTTCGTTAAATATGTCAATGCATGTTCTGAAATTTTTAAATTTTAGATCTTAAAATATCAATGTAGAAGTTGTTTGCAAACTCACGTTCATTGATTTCAGAAAATTTGTAATAGACAATTATATTTTTTACGTTTCAACGGCACAATCGTTCTCATCAGAAACAGTAAAAATTTATAACGTTGATATTTATATTGAATATATGATATTTATATTAAAATATTTTCGTAGCCACACTGCTTATAATGACGAAGCTATAATTACTTAATTGTTTTAAAATTCATTTTATTATGAAAATGCTTAAGTATTACATTATTGATAATGCAAAATCTCGGTTTGAAACCCACAGTAACGATTTAGTTGTACATATATGATTATGATCAGTAATCTTTCGTTAGTTTTACACAAAAATGCCTCATCATCGCAGAGCTTTCACAATTGAAGAAAAAGCAAAAGAATTTGGTGTTGGACATTCCACTATTTCCATGATTTTCAAGAATAAAAATAATGTTAAGAATTCATGTTTAATTCAAATGTTTTAAAATCAAAGCGAATGACTATCAGTGATGTTGACAGCAATGCTATATCTCATCGTAAGAAGTAACAATTGATACCATCTTAGAAGACGTCAAAAATGATCAGATTGAAGAAGAGGATGAAGAAACTATCGAAAACACAATCCGAGAGTAAAAGTCATATGATATCCCGTGATCACAATTGTTGTAAAGCCAGCGTTATCGTTAGATCATGGAAGCACCGAAGTCGAAAGAGGGTTTTCCAAAGCCGCGACACTATTAACTGAAGAAAGGGCAAACATAGCTGAACGAACTCTAAATGCTAAACTATTTCTATCATGATTGGATAAAAAATAATATGATAATCAAGCATATAGAGTTCCTATAACAGAAAAGCTTTTGAAACTTTCAAAAAACGCGCGTAAAGGTACACTCTCACCTCTACTGCCTGCCTGCCTGCGCAGGCAGGTGCCATAAGAGTGAGAGAGAAAAAACATTTAATTTGAATTTTCTGACTCTCTTACTCTTATGTGTTACCATGTCAACCTGCAGGCAGGCAGGCAGGCAGTAGGAGCTGTGCTAGCGCCTTTAGTCCTACGCAACGTATTTGGAGGAAAAAAAAGACTGAGTGAAGAAAATATGCAGCGAAAAAGAAAAGAATCCGAATGTAAAGCTAAAGAAAAAGCTCAATTAGAAAAAATTGAAAACGCTAATGAAAACGTCAAAGAATCAGAAGGTCAACTGTAAGTTACACAGGAATCTTACAAAAAAGCCGTCGAAGCTTCTGAATCAATGCAGAAGGAGGTCAATAAAGTTCTTCAAGATGCTCTTAAATCAAAGAATATAGCCAAATCTGCAGTTGTCAGAGAGATGTATTCTGGGTTAGAAAACCTAAAAAAAGGACGCGATAGACAAATTACATTTAAATATTAATAAGCAAAAATCTGCAATTCTGTTCTCTGATAATTTTTCCTAGATTATCAGCTCAGCTATGTGCGAGCATTCAAATACATGTCATTCGCACTTGTACTATAAAATATGTAAAAATGTTATAAAATTCAATTAAGTAATAATTTTTTATTCATTCTTTACTTACTGTTCACATATTTGTTCATGTCAAGATTTTTCCAGATAAGTTGAATTAATGTAAGTATATGTCGTGAATATTTTTTTTATTATACCTGTTTTCTGTAAAATTGCGCCATTAAGGGCATAGTTAAAAAAGAAGAGAAGAAAAATATCGATTTTTATTTACATTTTCGCTTACAGAAAACAATAATACGCAAACATTTTCGTTATATTAACAAATTTATCTTCGCAAACAAAAAATATCGTTCACTTTAAGAAAATAATAAATCATAATCAATAATAATACATAGTTTGTAAGTAAAGTTTTTGACAATAACACTGATCTGCAATTGATTACATTCTTTAGAAGAATATAGGCTTATTTGTGTTGTTGGCAATAAAAAAACGACAAACTGTGATATTAAAGTATTAAATGCATAAAATAGGTCATCTATGCCTATTAAGTACTTTAGTACCTAACAAAAAGATAAAAATTAATTTCATAAGTGATCAACTTTACTGAAAAAAAAACTAAAGTTGATCATCAGTTTCTTAATTTTTGTTCTGAGAATGTTCCTAAAATATTCCTAAAACATTTCATGTCCACCTCTTATGTCTCATCATAAAATAAGTAAGAAAAAAATTAATGCTCCAATTAAAATCTTTAGTGTTATAGTTGTATAAACATGAAAATGAAACCAAAATTTAGGGAAATTTTTATTACAGCGAATTTTATGAATAAATTTTATTTTACTTGAAGACTTGGTATATCCGTATATTATTCTCTTACGTTTAATTTTTTCAGAAAATCTAATCTAGACAAATTTTATCAACTTTAAACATCAACCAATCATTTGATTAACATTAAAATTTGTAGGGTACGTTAGGAATGTCATTAGATCGCAGATTACAAAGATGTAAGTACAAAAACTTTTATTTTAGTGAAGGCCATCATTTCTGTTTTAACAAGTGATAATATTAGGCTTGATCAATTTTAAAACAAACCACAATGTTCTTATTTAATTTTGCATAAATCAGTGTAGAAAAAGTCAAGATCAGACCCAATACAAATTGGGTGCTGATCGAAGCCCAGCTCTAAGTTGGACCATTTCTACACGGAAACAAATAGTTAAATAACCATTAGTAAAGAGAAAAAAAGAGATATATACATATATTAACTAATACACTTATTCGCATTAAATGATATATATATTTTATAACTTTCTTTAACAAAATTCTGTTGGTAGAAAGAGAATTACAACTTCCTTTACATTATAAAATGTTTTACATGTTTTGTACTTTTGTGCAATATTCATTCATTAGCTATTGTTATCTTCCATATTAACCAAAAGACTTTTCTTTTCATCTTTCTTCGATTTTTGAGAAGTGTTCCTCAACTTTGGTTCAAAACATGGCTGAAACAAACAATTTTAAAATCAATATTAAAAATCATGTTGAAAAAATTTCAGACATAACGTGTCACATGATAACTTTAAAATTCAAAATGGCGGATCCAATATGGCGGACTTATATTTTTAAATTGATTAAATTCACTTGAAACTTGTTACTCGGGTGTTTTTGGGGTCGCTTATTACGAATATGAATTCAGTTTTTAAAAATTCAAAATGGCGGATCCCATATGGCGGAAATTTTTTTAAATAATGATAGAAATCGCTTGAAACTTGTTATTCATGGGTTTTTGGGGTCGTTGGTAACGAATATGAAGTCAGATTTTCAAAATCAATATTGCAGAACAAAATAGCGGACATTTTTTTTAAATTAATAGATCTGCATGCAGATTATTCATTAAATATTTTCGGTGTTTGAAGTAATATACAAATGAAATTGAATTAAATTGAAGTAGAAATTAGTACTTACTGTCTCACAAATGTTCATGTTACAACAATTTTCTATAGTAATTTCGCATTGAGTATTCGAAATTGGTGGTCTACTAGTCAAAGGAGTTGTTCCATCTTTGCTCAAAATAAATCGCTTTCTTATTCTCGGCCTGCGTCGTAATTTGCTAATATAGATGGATAATATAATTACAAATATTAGCAGCAATACAATCACTGTTGATAAAATAGGAATAGTATTATCACAATTAAAAACTCCGTTAATTGACGTTGGTTTTTCATAAGTTAAATTTGTGCCCGAAAATCTGAAAAAATTTAAAGATATATTAAATTAAATTCAATTTTTTCCAGTCTAATAATAAGCTTGAAACCAAAGAATCAAAATTGTCATCTAATAGGTGTCATGGCCTGTAAAGTTAAATTCTTCTCATTTAAAATTAAATGACAACATTTAACTCAACACTAAATAATTTTAAATCTTACTTTAAGCCCACTTTTGATTACAACGGTTTACATTAGATTAAGAAATAAAAATTGTAAAAACTTACTTATTTGTATTAAATTCTATATTATTTACATTAGATTCTATATTCCTTTGGCTGGTTGAGTTATTTTCAAGTTGCTCTAACTCACATCGACTTCCTTTAAAACTTTTGCAATTGCAAGTTGGCATTCCGTTCTTTATTGTACATTCTCCACCGTTTAGACAATAATTATAACAGACATTACGTTCACATCTTAGGCCAATGAATGAACTGCTGCACTTACACGTAGGTAAACCCTTTATATTGATTGTGCAATTTCCCTCAAGGCAGTAATTATGGCATACAGAAGTTTCACAAGCTGCACCCTTGAATCTTTAAATAAATTAAAAGTTCTTTATTATTATATTATTAGGTATAATTTTGAGTAATTAATTTAATCAGATACACAGAGGGACAGGAAACCAACAAACTTGGTCAAAATAAAAAATTTAATTAAGGGGCTGTTTGATTCGTAATCAGCAAAAGTAAAAGATTCATAAGATTGTAATGAATTTTTGAAAAAATAAATTCTAATAAGAAAATTGAATTTGAAATAATTCAGGGTTGCCACAAGTCAGGAAAAGTACAGGTACTGGAAAAAATTGAATTTTTAAAATTCATGAGAAAACTCTGAATTTTGAGGTTTTTTTTTGTTTGACTCGTAAACTATGAAATTACCACGAATTTTAATACAAAACCTTCAATTTTTTCTATTTCTGACAGTCAGTTCTTTTATTTTAAATAACTTAAGTTTTCAAAAACTATCATAAAATTATGACTTATAAATTATTCAATGAATAATTATTACAATTTTCATAAATACTCGATTCATAGAAGAATTTTAGTTAAAAATACAAAAAAAATTGAATTTTGGAAAAGTTACAAATGATTCCAGAAATTCAATTATTTTCAAAAATTCTTCGCAGAACTTCAATTATGTTTAAAATTTTTTAAAACATTCTCATCAAAATTTTAATTTTCTTTATAAATAATAAAACTCCTCTTCAATATTCAATTATTTTTAACAATCAATTTTAATAAAATTCTTGTCAAAATTTCAAGTATCTTTATAAATAATAAAATTCTATTCGAAATTCAATTACTTTAGAAAACTTTTAATAAAATTCTCGGGAAAATTTTAATTATTTTCATAAATAATAAAACTCATCGTAGGATTTTAATTATTTTTGATACAATTTTAATCAAATTTCTCGAAAAATGTAATTATTCTTAAACATTTTATTAAAATTTGTCAAAAGAATTCAATTATTTAAAAATTTGTTGATAAAATTCTTTATGAGAATTCAATTTTAACAAACATTAAATTATTTATTTTTTAAATTTAGATAATTGAATTCTTCTAGAATTTTCTTATAAAAATTGATTTAAAAATGAATTAACGAATAATCGATTTATTATTTATGAAAATAATTGAATTTTTCTCAGAAATTTTACTACACTCAAATCTCGCTATAACGACCTTCTCTATAACGAGCGCTCTCTATAACGAGGGCTCTGTCTCTCGGTATAGCGAGAAAAATTTTCTCCCGATTACCCCCACTATTTATAAACAAATGCACATTCAGTTGGTTTAAATTTGGTTAAAATCAATTTGATTTATATGAAATAAAAATAAAAAGTCACTTCTTATTTGAAATTATATCAATGAGTCGAACATCTTCAAAATTTAAGCTTATATAAATTTTCTGTATGTTAAAGTTCAAAGTAAACTAGGTTACGTTTGTAATTTTGACATTATTTAATTTGTAAACACTAAAAAAAATGAATAAAGAATCTTAAAAGTGGGGATTTCTCATTTCTTCTCTTGCGCTCGTAATAGAGGGAGACTTGACTCCCGAACTTCTCGTTATAGCGAGATTCGAGTGTACTTTTAAAAATAATTGAATTCTTGCGAAGGATTTTAGTAGGATTTTTATAAATAATTAACTTTTTTTTGAAAAATTTTATGGTAATTTAAATTATTACAAAACATGAAGAAGGCGATTGCTTTTTTCATGTTTTGTAATAATATTCTTATAAGTTGTTGAATTTCAAAAAGGTTTGAATTTGAATGTTTTGAAGAATTTTAATTCCTACGGAAAAATAATAATAATTAAATATTTATTTAAAAAAGAAGTTATTGATGTTTTCGAATAATTTTACTTTTGAAAAAATTTGTAAATAAATGTAATAGAAATTTTTTTGAGTATCTAATAATTTTGAGAGTGAATCCGAATATTCTTTAGGTTCAGGGAAAAAGTGAAATTTTTGTCTCGAAATCAAGGAAAAGTTAGGGAAAAATAAAATGAAATATTTGTGGCAACCCTGTAATTGTTTGAATAAAAAAATAAATTTTAAAACTTACCCTGGTCTACAGGAACAAGACTTATCTACTTTATTGTATATACCATTATTAAGGCAGTGTATAATAGTAAATTGGTTTAAGTCAGTTTCTTCTGTACTAGCAGTAAGATTATTAAATATTGTATTAGAAATAACGTTTTCTTGAGGAATTTTGTTACTCTTTCTTGGAGTGTCAGTGCTGCAGTTGATTGATACACTATTAACACGAGTTATAACGCTAACTGCATTTGCATCTTTGGATAATTCATAATAAGATTTTAACTTTATCGGAGTGTTTCCAGCTTCTTTGATTTTATTTATCGCCCATGCTGCATTGTAAACCCAATCTATCCAATAAATTTTCTTTAAATCTACTGTCATATATACGGGCTGCTGATGTTTACCATGGAAAATCAATTCACGATTCAATCCATCAAGATCACTTCTTTCAATTTTATAGTTAATCCCCTCCTCATCATCTATCCAATATAATTTTCTATTTGTTGCATCTACTGTTACTGCCACTGGATCATAAATATTATCTTTAATTATTGTCATTTTATTACTGCCATCAAAATTTGATCTTTGAATGCTTGGATATTTTGAATTTGTGTTTCCCCAATAAAGACACCTGAATCAAAAATTTGATAAAAGATTTTATTAAAATTAATGTCTTTTAATATAATAAAATGAGAGGGAACATAGTCAAGGTCGGCTCATCTTCAAGATGGGCTTTATTTTAATATAACTTCAAATTTAACTGCTTTTTCTTCTTGAAATGTTTATCACTTTTTTATTTTGAAACCAAACAATTTACGATGTTCGGCAAAAGTGTTCCTCTTCATAGATTTTTTCAACAATTTACTTTAATTGTCCAAATTCATTTTGTAATAAAAGTTATAGGATAGGTCAAAAAGTGGGCCGACCTTGACTATGCTCCCCTATTTATATAATTATTTGGATAAATCATTGTAGCATTTTCACATGTTATCCTACATGGTTCCTTATACAAAAACCCATATAAAATTCTAGAATCCACATGGTTAGATTGCAAGTCGATGGATAAAGTATTTGATAATGGGTTATTGATAAAATCTTTTTTCGAAATAATAATAATAATAAATACGAAAAATATTAATGTGAGAATTTTATACACACCTGTTACAAGAATCGATAGCGATGGTGCGTGGATTATTTCCCTTTAGGTCAATAACTATTTCTCTATCTCCTGGGATGCCATTTAAAGAAATATGCATTTTCATAATGGTTTGTTTCAAAGCATCAACCCAAAAAAGTGTACGAGATGAATAATCAAAAGTTAAACTAGTAACGTATGTACCACTGGTAGCTGGAAATAAGAAATGTTTATTTTAAGTCTCTGAATATATAATATTAAATATATGGGTCATTCCATGTAAAAAGGCTAAAATTATTCATAACTATAAATTTTCATATTTTTGAGCTCAGTAAATATAAATCTATGGTCTGAATTAAAAAATTCAAAATGGCAGATTAATTTGTCAAAATTCAATATATTTAATTGAAATCAGTTGAATGTTGATACTCGACCGGGGGTTAGTGGGGTCGCTGAATACAAATTCAAGGTCAAAATTCAAAATGGCGGATCCAATATGGCGAAAGATTTTTTTAGAAATCGTTGATATCAGCGGCTTAAAAGGGCTGAATATTGTTACTCGGGGGGTTTTGGGATCGTTGAATACGAATTTAAGGTCAGAATTTAAAATTCAAAATGGCGGATCTAATATGACGAAATATTTTTTAACCCTCTGAGAACACATGGGGTCATTTTGACCCCACGATTTTTTGCGAAAAGCTTTTTATCTATTGTTTAATATTTTTTATAAGGATTTTAAAGTACACAGACTTATTTTACAGAGTTTAAACTATATTTTCAAAAAATCCTTAGGTTAAGCAGATGAACAGTTCAAAATTGGTTGAGCATTGAAAAATGACCTAAAAAAGAGGTGTGTTCTCCGAAGGTTAAAAATGCACAAAAAAAGTCATATAAAAGTCTCATTGAAATTGAGAAACAGAGAAGCAGAACTCAACGAACGCCTCAAAAACCCCCGAGTAAAAATATTCATCTAAATTCAGTTGAATACACGGAGAAAACTGGATATTCAAACGTAGATATTGAAAAAATACATTAACTCTTAACATCAAAAATATTAAACTTTAATATCTAGATATTCAAATCACATGTTAGATATTAACGCTTAACATCCAGATATTTACTTTTAATATCTAGATAGCTGTCCCTATGTTAAAGAATAAAAATATTAAACTTTAACATCTAGATATTTACCTTAAATATAATATATATATATATATATATATTTTGCATTTTGCATTTTTGAATTTTGACTTTGGATTCATATTCAGCGACCCCAAAAACCCCCGTATATCAAAATTCATCTGAATTCAGTTGAAAACATTAAATTTTGAAAAATTAATCTGCTATCTTTATATTCGCCATTATTAAAATAAGAATAATAATTCAAAGTATTTTGTGGATTAACTTCATTCCATTCGATTTTTCAAAATTAGCGCCAATATAGTGAAAACTTTAGCTCGATCTATAATCTACTATTTATCTATAATATTTTTGAAAATAGAAAGGCGCATGCTTATTTCCCAAATATCATTTGACCGAACTGTTATTTTAACGAAATGTCACTTTTGCGAATCGCCATTTATACGAATTGACACTTTTGCGAAAAGTCATTTTTGCGAAATATCATTTTTACGAATTGTCATTGGGAACGTTCACAAATGATGTCACGTTTTTGGGGGGAGGGGGGGGGGTCTCTTCTAAACGTGACACAATATATTTTTATATGTGAAATTGCGTGACAGGGGGGAGGGAGGGTCTAAAATCACGAAAAATTGCGTGACATCATTTGTAAACGCTCCCATTTTTACGAATCGTTATTGTTCCGAAATGTCATTTTTTCGAATTGTCATTTTTACGAAATGCCACTTTTGTGAATCGACATTTTTACGAAATGTCACTTTTGCGAATCGCCATTTTTACGAATTGTCACTTTTGCGAATTGTCATTTATGCGAACTGACATTTTTTCGAATTGTCAATTTTGCGAAAATTGCTATAGTACCTAAACTTGTATGCATATATAGATTTACTCTATCAATTTTTTGCAAAAAATGACAATTCGCAACAGTGACATTTCGTAAAAATGACAATTCGAAAAAATGGTAGTTCGCATAAATGACAATTCGCAAAAATGAATTTTCGCAAAAGTGACAATTCGTAAAAATGGCGATTCGCAAATGTGACATTCCGTTAAAATAACAGTTCGGGTAAATACAATTCGGTAAAATGACAGTTCGGTCAAATGACATTTGGGGAATAATCATGCGCCTCGTGTATTAAATGAAAATGCAGCTAATTAATGTAAATAAAATATTTTTATATAATAATATTAATTTACTTTACATCACCAACATATGATAGAACTGAGAAATTTTCAAATTTAAATTGTGTTTAATAAAAATGACGGAGGAATGGTCTGCGCAGAAGGATAAGAAAATTAGTTGTCCGTACCACAATACCGAGTAAACATTCACCATGAATTAGATGAATTTGAGTGTTCTGCGCATACTAAACATATGCAATGTAACAGCTGTTGCACACCTCAAAAGAGAAAAGTGGCGCCGCAATAAAACTTTATGCGCAGAATACTTTAATTCGTCTAGTGCATCTAAAACCAATTAAGAAGACCCTCCACCGTTAGCGAGGCATATTCTGATCCGTCCTTACTGCTAGGTAATGTGCACAATATTAACTTTCGTTAATGATAAAAAATGATAACAATGATAACAATTAAAAGTATTTTGAGGATTTATTATATTCCTTTAGATTTTTAAAAATTAGCGACACTTCCAAGTGTCAGGGAGTTGATATTATATAGCCGAAGAAGTCGATAAAATTATGAAAAATTATTAGATGTGGACCTATTAGATCTGCAGATCAATGGAAGACTAATCAATCTTTAAACATTATAATTTTTTATTTACGTATCAATTACTTTTGTCATCTTTTAAAGAGGGTGTTTTTTCAATTTTTTTTGTGATTATGGGTTTTAAGGTGGTTTATCTAGCATCCCAGTCATAAATGAAAGATCTAATCGACGTCTAAAACATCTATCTATAAATAGTCTAAATCGAGATCTACATAGACGTCGAAGTGGGACGCCACAAGGAGTCGAAATTATTGTCTATTAAACATCTACTTAATTCTCGTTGGTGCGCATCATAAAAAAATGAGTATGTGTTAAATGAGTCGCTTACGAATAGGAACTCTTATCAAATGAATCGTGAGTTGATCCGGAAATAATGAATAGTAAAGATGCTGTAGGTTATAATGGTTTATTATCTGACCCTGCTCTGAGGTCAAAATTGAATCATAGCACTGTTGAATCTATTTTACAAAAAGGTCCTTCTGGAATACCCAATATATCTTTTCCTTAAAATCCTCAAAATCGTTACTTCAATCCTGCGCTTATTGTAAAAAGAGTTTCAGAAGGGAGAAATTGTGGAGAGAAAATGGTTAGTGTACTCTGAATCCAGTAATAAAATTTTTTGTTTTTACTGCAAGTTATTTGATATTTTTGATCAAAGTCGTCTTTGGCTAAAAACGGATCAGATGAATGGACTCATACAGGAAAAATTGACCAGAAACATAGGAATATACGCATAATTAAGCATTTCGAGATTCTTTAATTCTTTAAAGATCTGTATTCTGTTGGATAAACCACCTTAATCTTTTTAAATAAGTTACTAAATTAACTTTACTTTTAAAATAAAATATAAATTGCTTTGGAGATTTACCTACCTCAGTTGGATTTTCCTACAGTGTGCGCGATTCATTAAAAACTATGAAATCAAGTCATAAGTCCGACTCGTTTCATAGTTGGTTCTCTGATATTATTCTTCTTTTTAATTCATTTTAACCTCCTTGATTTATAAATATTACATGGTCAATTTTTTAACAATTAAATAATATCTTACCCTCCAGTAATCGTTGTGGTTTGGCGTTTTTATCATTGATGATAAATCGAAATATAGAACCATTAATATTTTTATTATCACTGAAAAATACAGAGTGAGTGGCATCATCATAAGCAACTCCTGTTAACATTTTAGCTTCCGGAATTTTTATTTCTCCAACTATCGTTCCATTTTTATAAAGAAAATCAATTCTGTCTCCAACTGCTACCGCCATGTCTATATAAGACAAAAAATTATTGTAAATTAGCAATTCAGTAAAGGTCAAAAATACAAATTTTAATTTCTTTAACCCTTTTGTGCCCCCAAAAAATTCAGCCAGTGGATATTATTGAAACTTGTTACTTGGAAGTTTCTGGGGTCGCTGATTACGAATCTGAAGTCAGAATTTCAAAATTCAAAATGGCGGACATTTTTTTCAAAATTGTTCAAATTCTCATAAAATTTGTTACTTGGAGGTTTCCAAGGTCACTGATTAAGAAACTGAAGTCAGATTTTCGAAATTCAAAATGGCAACCCTGAAAAAACCCGAGTAGGTAATAAGCTTCTGGCGAATATGAGCAATTTTCAAAAAAATGTCCACCAACAAAAATTTTGAAAATCTGATTTTAGATTCGTAATCAGCGACCCCGAAAATCCCTGAGTAAGAAGTTTTAAGCGAATTTGAGCAAATTTTGAAAAATTAAATTTTGCTATTTTTTAACAATATTATAAAGTTTAAATAAAATAATTTTCTTGCAAAACATTGTAGTTTATTAATTAGAAAAGTTGTTTATTTATAAAATATTCATAAAGAACCATGTTTCTAATCGATTTTCAATATCAAAAATCAAACTTTGACTAATTCTTATTTTAAATAGGTAGATCAATTATTACTTATAAATATAGTAAGTATTATATTCTGGAATACTTTAATTTTGTAATAACAGTTTTTTGTATTAATAAAATATCTAAAACTGAAATATTAATAAAAACTTGAAATATATATTTGAAAATATCAGTGCTTAAACACTCTGAGCAACCAAATGGATATAAATTTATTTTAATACGTCGTTTATATCATAATTTTTATACAGATAAAGAGAAAATTAAAAAAAAATAATTTACTCTTTTTTTGTAAAAAATAATTTTTATGCTTAATTATAACAGGTTTTTAATCAACTGTTCATTCACTGGTGAAGTGACCCTATATCTTCGAATCTCTAAGGTTGCTCGCACAAGAAATGTCGTTACTATGTGCGAGACACGTGTTTTGTTTAAAATTTTATAAAATTAAAATAAAAAATTGTTCCTTCTTCTATTGTGAACACTTATGTGAAAATACATAAGTATAGCAATTTTTAGCCCTCTAGGTCAAAAAATGGACGCGTAAGTCTCATTTTTACATAACAGTTGGTAGTAAAATTGACTCGTACGGTTTTTTTTGAGACCTTTTCGAAATTCATGATTTAATTTTTTATAAATACTATAAAAAATTTGATTCAAATGTTAGACATTTTTACAAAAAATGGTTTACTCAAAATTCCCTACATACTTATTTATAAATTTCAAACATTTTTAACGTTTGTTTAAAAAGAAAATTATTTTGACTAAAAAAATATTTCATGAAGTAAAAAATTCCTCCATAATTCTATATAGAAAATGTTATGTTTGTGTTTTATAAATTTCTAAGTGAATACGTCAAAAAATTGTAATTTTTGTGTGGAAGTATAGTTAGCGGACAGTTTGAAAAATGTGATTTTGAGAAAATTCTGTTTAAAATTTTCTATTAAAAAAATCATTAAGTTCGTATGACTATGGAGAAAACAGCCTTAAAACAAAAGATAGTTTATAGTCTTTTTGTCTTAGCACCGCAGTTTATCCTAAAGACGCAGCAATATTTTTGCTTATAAAATTATTTTACATCGTTTACATATTCTTGAATGTCAAATTAGAAGCTTCTAATGCGTCATGTACTCTTGAAAACAATGTACAGATATTTAAAACAATAGAAGCTACTGTGCGCGCATTGGGATACCATTCAGATTATAATTTAAGCTTATAAAACCTAACGATTATTTCTTATTTTTGAGACTCTATTGAGTACCCAGTTTTTCAAAAAATATAAAATTGAGACAAAAACGTGTCAAAATTGTTTAATCCGTTTTTTGTCTCAATCTGATATCCTTTGAAAAACTGTCAATATAGAAATATTGTAATGATATGAAACATCTAGAAAAAAATGTCACATTAAGAAGAAAAATCCTCTCAAAACAAAAGTATCCTACTTTAATGTAGAATATTTTTATATTTAATTAAAAATATTTAAGGGGGGAAACCACATTAGGTGGCTTATTTTTATGGATTTTTTAAAATTTTTTTTGGGGGGGAAATATAAATTAAAATTCAATTACATTTAAGCATCTTTTTATTAGTGTTTTGAACAATGTTTATAAATTCTTTTGATTTATTTTAACCAGAAATAAGGCAGATATGCTGTCGTAACCACTGATGGTCCTGATATTTTTTCTCGACTTGCGTGACATGTAGCAATTTTTATTTTTAACTAAAATTTAAAAAAAAAAATTTCTTACATTCTTAACTTATTTTCTAAGAATATGAACCTCATTTTAGGTAAAAATAATAAAAATTTTTAATTTTGAAGGTGTTTGAAATTTTTCCTTAAATTTTCACAATTTTTTTTACACTAATTAGACAAAAAAACACTCTTAAAATCGTGATATCACCTTAAATGGTGGTTCATATTCTTCGTAATTTTATAAAGAATAAAACTTCCAAATCTCATTATAATCGGTAAATATTTGTTTAAGTTAGACTGCACGCAATCATAAAAAATGTGATTTTGAGAAAAACGCATTTAAAGTTTCAATTTATTTTTTTTTGTTCAGCAGAAATTTTTTTTAAAGTCACAAAGAGTCATATAATAATAGAAAAAATAATAAAAAATTTCTAAATATATATACTTTAAGAAAATGAAAAAAATAAAAAATAAATTTTTTGAAAGTTACAATTAGGTTTCCCCCCTTAAAATTTAATTAAAAAAGTAAATACGTTAGTTAATGTAATTAATTAATTATAATCGTTAAGACGTTAATTGAATTAAAAACATTTAATTTAGTGAATCAGAATAGCCTTTTTTATCAAAACATAAATTACCTTTTAGAAAAAATCGGTCAAACACGATTTACAACAATTAAGAATCAATTATCATTGAATCGTTTTTAATTGTTTTTAATTGGTTCAATTGTAACCAATTGTTTTTAAATTTTTTAACTGTAGATGGAGTTATATTCTACAAACTTCTTTTGTTTCTCTTCTTTTCTGTCAAAAGCGTTTCACATATTTTTCATTTAACAAAAATGTATTTATAAAAATGTAAATTTCAATACAAATAAGTGTAAACTGATGGAAATACAAATTTAATGTTAAGTCATTAATTTAATAAAGATGTTAATAAGTTTAATTACAATGCGAAAATTAGGTGTTTACTTTTTTAACTGGTGACAACTTTTAATGAGTGACAACTTTTAATGAAACAGTAAAAAGCTCACAAGTTTTAATAAATCCGTATAGATTGATATCTACGTTCATGGTACAGATTTATAAATAGTAATATTTTTAATTTAAAAAAATTAAATATTGTAAAGCACTTGTGGGAAAATATTGTTTGTAAGTGTTTTAAATATAAAAATTAAATTTCTGAAATACAATAAATTTAATATAATTTTGGCATTTGATTCCGATTCTAAATCGTCGCTTGGGGGGAAAAGTGTGCCATTTCAGATCGACGACGAAAAACATGTCATTTGATGCGATTTGTGAAGACTGTACCTTTTGTCAGACGAACTGTGAAAAAAGTGCCTTTTCGACAATGCAAAAATTGATTTTTTTGGTTGTCTGTAAAATTACAAAAAGTTGGTAATTGGATTTTTATTATTTTTATAGTATATTTCGTAACGAGTGCGAGCAGTTCAAAAATTCAAAAATTGGCAACTGCTAGCACTAGTTGCGAACGATATTTTTCATAACAAGGTGCAAAAAAGTGCCCTTTTTTACACCGCGTTATGAAAAAAAATATTATTTAACGTGATATAGTTTGTTGACCGAATTAGTTGAAAATATTTTTATTAGCATATTTTATTGCATTTTTAATAATATGATTCAAAAATATTTAATTAATAAACGGTCACTAACTTCAAGAATATACAAAACTATTAATATTTGTTAGAAACGAGTAATGTTTTAATCAACCAACAATATGTACATGGTACTGAAAATTTTTTTTTTAAATATCAAATTTTTCTATAATTATGCAAATAAAGATAACTCGTCACTGCATTTTTCCCACAAATAATAATTTATTCTACGTTTTGAAAATTATTATTGAAGATATTATAATTGCCAGTATAATTGTATATTTTTTGTAAATGAAATATAAAAAATATTCAGTGACATCTTGTGCAAAAAATAAAACAAAAAACAGTAGTTTCTGTAGAGCAGAATAAATTATCATTTTATTTGTCAAAAAATAAATACAGTTTTTTTTATTTGCTTAATTAGATAAATTCCATTTATCAGCAAATTTTTTCTATTTAAAGCAAAATGTTTTTTATTGTAAAAATTGTAAAAATTGTAAAAATGTTTTTGTAAATAAATAAAAAATAAATATTGAATGAAAAAAGTTTTTGGAAAATATTTCGCTCGTCTCAAATAAATATTAATAATTTTGTATCATAAAATTATAAAATATGTACAATAAAAAATGTTAATAAAAATAATTTAAATTATTTAGAATTTAATTAAATTTAAAAAATAATAAAAACTATCTTACGTTAAAAAATATTTTCAAATATTATAAATTATTATCCAATGACCAACTTCTCGTCATTGTACAGACAACCTAAAAAAACTTTTGCTTCATCGAAAAGGCACTTTCTTTACCGTTCGTTTGAAAAAGTACGTTTTTCACCGTTAAACACGAAAAAACACAGTTTTCACAAATCGCGTCAAATGGCATTTTTTTCTTTGATTGATCTGCATTGGCACAAACTTCCCCCCCCCCCCCCCAAGCGACGAAATATTTAAAAAAAAATTTTGATAATCTGTAAAACTTAGTTTGCATATGAGTACACAAGATATCTCAAAATCTTTTTAACCTATTTTGATAAAATTAAAAGTATGAATTCTCCTTTTATTAAAACTCAAAGTTTAGGTCAAAAATGAGTTCAAGGTGTTTAGCAACTTGTAAAAAACATATAGAAGTCTCTCAAAGTTTACTTTAAAATCTTAACCATTGTTGCCTACTAAATTAAATGTTATTAACATTTTTATAATTATGTTTTTGAATATTCTTTGATATATTTTTATTTTTATAACCTATTATTATTATTATTATTATTATTTTTTCATCTACTCTAAATTAAATTTTTAAAATTTTTTTAAAATAAATTTACGAACAATTTTCAAACATTTTCTTCGTACGCTATAATTAGATGAAATAAAAGTATGCGACTTGCAAAACCGTTTAAGCCCTAAGCACAATAGAGTCGCGAACGTGATGTATGAGATAGAAGAGGACAAAAGTGTAAACATTGAATCACTCTGATCACTGTCTGAAATTATAGATTGTTATTTAGTTTTTTTTTTGAGATTATTAATAAATTAAAAAATTAATTAAATATTTGACATCATATTTATTTCATTTTTAACTTTAATATTTTCAAGTACGTTTTTTAAATTTTGCGTTAAATATAAATGCTTTCATCGTATATAGTATTAAACATTGAAAACGATAGGGGATGATTGCGGAGATACTAACACGTCAATCCGATCGGGATAACCTTCTTCGTGGCACGATTAAAAAACACGACTCAGAACGACAGAACTTTTTTCTTTATTTTTTTAATGAATTCTAATCGATTTATTAACGATAATAAACACTAATACATCCAAGAGGAAAATTCTTTTATCATAAAGAATTTTACTTTTAATATTTTTTAAGGAGTAAAATATTAATTTTTAATACTTTCTAAATCAACTTTAAAATTTTTACTATTATAATCAATGAGCAAAATTTTTCAAAAATTTGACGACATTTTTTAAAATGTTAATTACTTGTAATAATTAATAATTATTATATTTTATTGAATTAATTTACTTGTATATTTAAGTTTATGCATTTTTTTAATTAAATTTCAGTTTTCATTAAATTGACGTGAATTTGATGAAAGTAGAAATTTCTCAATTTAATGATAAAATGTAGGATAGAAAATTGTATAAATTAATAATATGCTCTAATATTCGTTAGAAAAAACAATTTTTATTTAAAATTAAAAATGTCAAAATTTCGAAAGGGCACATCCATTAACTATGTTACCAATTTAGGGGGAGGGGGTCCAAAATTCTAGAAATTTGCAGGGGGTCTAAAATGTATGAAAAATTGGTAACATAGTTTATGGACAGCCCCTAAAAAGAAAAAAAAAATTATTATTTTTATTATAATTAAATTTTGTTTTTTAACAAAAAAGTAATTACTTTAACTATTATTCACTTTACAGGTCTTGGTTAAAGTATTTCATACAAATTTTTGAAAATTAAAGTTTTGAAGAACTTTGATTACAAATTCTAAAAATAATTAAATTCTCAAAAGTTTTAATAAAAATCTTCAAATAAAAATTTTAAAATTATCTTTAAAAAATTAATTTATTACTGAAAAATATTATCGTCAAAGTAAAATTAAATTGATGTGAAATCAACGTCAATATGATTTCAAAAAATGTTCACAATGTGGGACACATTTTCGTCATTTCGAGGAATCAATTTAACGATCAATTTGATATAAAATTGATGAACCATTTCTCTTTGGATATAATTCATTACTGGCCTATGTGCCTTAAGTTATGAACGCTCAAATAAACGAAATTTATTTATTTATTCTTCAAATTAAAATTAAAATTTTATCACAATAATACTGCATAATTTTTTGTCAAAGAAATTATAAGTACAACAATTCTTTTAATAAGAGATTCAATTATTTTTGAAATACAAATTTTAAAAATCTAATTCTTAAAATTGTTTTATCACAATTTTTTAAGATTTAATTACCTTCAAACAAAGTAAATAAAAATTTATAATATTTAATTTCTCAGACATATTAAACTTTTATAGAAGTCATGGTCACATTTATAATTAAAATTCTTTAAAATTTTGATTATTTTTATTTAAATTTTTCAAAAATTCAATTAGTTTTCAAGAATTTTATCAAATTTCAATTGTTTGGAAATTTTTCAATTGTATATCATTAAAACAGTATTATTTTAAAAAATTTTTTTTAAATATTAAATAAAATTAATTGTAAGAATTTCTTTAATATAATTTTTTTGAAAATATAATACGTTAAGAAAAAAACATGAGCAGTTACAAAAATTATAAAAAGTTCAGTTTTTGTATTTAAGTAATTGAATACTAGAAGAATTTTCGGAAAATTGTTTAAGAAAATTGATTTAAAGAGAAATTCAGTTGAAAATTGTAGAAAATAATTGAATCCAGGAAGGGTTATAATTGTAATTTTTATAAATTAATTAAATTCATAAATTTTACTGATTTTCCTTAAACTTTCATATTTTCCTGTAAAAAGAATTTTGTTAGGGAAACTAATTTTAATGTCAGTAAATTGTCAGGGAAATGCCAAGGAAATTGATAAACTGAAACTTGTGACCACTCTATTGATGTAGTGAGAAATTTTTGAAAATATGAAAAAATATTTCTTTTATTTCAACTTTCAGAACTTTTGGATTATATTAGTCTGTAAAAAAGAGTCTTGAAATGCATTATCACACTAATGTCAATAAAGCATTTTGATTGTATGTTACATTCAAATTAAAAATAAGTATAAGAAGATTAAAAAATGTTAAATATTTCAGAAATGATTTGAATTTTAAAAAAACTTGAATTTAACATTTTTCGTGATATCTCATTTAAAAATAAACCCAAACATAGAACCAACTTTTGTATTTTATTTTAAAAACCAAGTATCATAAAGATAATAAAAATCGGGTGTCCACACAATTAAGATCGAAATACATATTTATATATGGGCAATTCCACGTGAAATTCTATGATATTCTAAAATCGGTTTTAATAACATATTATAATATATTATAACATAATTTTTTCTCGTTCTTTATAGAAAAATAATAAATAGGTATTTTTTTATTTTTGTATAATTGCCCAAATTTTCGAGTTATGAATTTTCAAAATTTAGGATTTTTAAAAGTAGACCTATTTTCAGTAGCTTATAACTTTGAAAGTATTGAGTTTAGAAAAAAGTTGTCAAAGAAAGAAAATTTTAGGTTTTCTTCAACATTTAAACAATGTAAAAAAAGTATTTTTTTAATATGGGAGTGATTAATTTGAGTTTTTTCTTTATTTATTTACACCTGATAATATAGAGAAAATTTTCTAAAAAGTCCCATGATGGGCCGATTGAGTTTAAGGAGTTTAAAATTTTTTGGAAAATTTTCTCTATATTGTCAGGTATAAATAAATAAAGAAAAAATTTAAATTAATCATGTCCAAATTTAAAAAAATTAATTTGTTTATAAAAAAATAATTTTTTAAATTAAAAATAAAAAAAATTTTTTTTTCACATTACTTAAAAGTTGAAGAAAAACCAAAATTTTCTTTCTTTGACAACTTTTTTCTAAACTCAATACTTTCAAAGTTATAAGCAACTGAAAATAGGCCTACTACTTTTTTACCCAAATCGAAAATTTAGGCAATTATACAAAAGTAAAAAAAATTCGTATTTATTATTTTTCTATAAAGAACGAGAAAAAAATGTTTAACCGATTTTAAAATGTCATAGAAAAATTTCACGTAGAATTGCCCATATACATATAGTTATGTGTATGTAGTTATGTAATGTTGTTCATTTATTAATTCCATGTATAATGTAAACAAAATTTTTTTTTACATTATTTACAACTCAATTCTATTTTTAATTAACATTTTAAATGGTTTCAAAATCATTTAACTTCATATAAGTTAAGAGGAAAGTTTTTTTAAAAAAGTCGTTGTTTACTCTAACCTGAAAAAACTCACATGTATGAATTGATAGAATATTCTGACATGTTTATAAATTTTTTTTATCTATGTGTATATAGTGCATAGATATATATAGATACTTATATGTAATAAATAACTATATTACTATATATTATTGCTATCGTCTTAAACTTTAAAGGTCATGGTAAATAAGTTAAAAAATTTTTTTTCGAGTTAAAAAAAGTGTTTTTTTTTGAAAATTTTAATCACTTTTCATCATAGTTTAAAAATGGGTATATCACGAAATCTAAAATTGACATTATGAACCCCTCACGTGGACGGACAGAATAATGTAAAAGTCTATAAATTATATATTTTATAAAATATTCTAATTAAAAATAATTTCGATGTGTATTTTTATAATATTTTGAATAACTTCTATACTTTCTGTATAAATTTATATGTGCATACTTTTTTTCAAACTCAAATTATTGTTTTTTATTTATAAATAATTGCATTAAAATTGTTTTCTGATAACCTTAAGATAAAATGTGTTTACTTAATATTTTGAAGTCATTGTCAAGTTCAATATTTGAATAAAAAAGCAAATAATTAATGTTAAAATGACTGAAGTTTTGAACACATTTGGCCTACGTGACATAATATACTTTTTGAATGGAGCCAATGTATATTGATATTGAGCAGTTAAATACCGGCGAATTTTAGCAGCTTACCCCACGTTTTGCCGCTTATAAAAGTTAAAAAAACTGTAAATAATACAGTTGACGCGAGAAATCGCGAATCAGAAGACATTATGGTGTTCCTTCATTGATAAATGTTTAAATTATCATGTTCTCGAAAGCAAGTCGCGGGTTAAAGTAAGACTACACTGAGAACAGGCCTTTCTCCCACAATGATCGCGAACATACTAATACAACAATGATTTGCTGTAGATGCACGAGTATAGCAATGGGTAGGAAATTGAGTGTGCGCACCAGTTTCTGGTAAATGCACGAAATATAGGCTGTGCTTCATATTTCAAATGCAGTCACGGAACGAGTCGAATTTTATTTATTTTAATTAATTTGCAATAAATTAAGAACACATTTTAGACCAATAATGTTGTTAATTTAATGTATTATTTAATACAATTATTATATTATTGTACTATTTTTTTCAGTAATATATGACGTTACCACGTGGTTTGTTTGAGGTTATATAAGAATAATATAAACATAAACTATGCTATACATATATCTACTTTGAAATCCCGATAATAGATTCGTACAAGGACGATATAGAATAAAAAATTTATTTTTACATTGCAAAAATAATAAAAATTAATTAATTTTTTGTAAAATTTATATATGTATATACCATTCCACGTGAAATTTTTCTATGACGTTTTAAAATCGGTTAAACATATTTTTCTCATTCTTTATAGAAAAATAATAAATAGGTATTTTTTTATTTTTGTATAATTGCCCAAATTTTTGAGTTATGAATTTTCAAAATTTAGGATTTTTAAAAGTAGACCTATTTTCAGTAGCTTAGAAGTTTGAAAGTAATGAGTTTAGAAAAAAGTTGTCAAAGTTAATGTAAAAAAATAAAAAAAAAATTTTTTTAATTAAAAAAAATTACTTTTTATAAACAAATTTATTTTTTTTTAAATTGGGCGAGATTAATTAAAATTTTTTATTTATTTATTTACACCTAATAATATAGAGAAAATTTCCATTAAAGTCCCGAGATGGGTCGATTGAGTTTAAGGAGTTAAAACAATTTTTCAAAATTCGCTTGCAAGTTCCTCGTATAAGTTACTTTTAAGGGGATGTCAAAGTCGATGCGATTTTCCCATTGAAGCTCAATGCAAAAATCCAATCGACTTTGACATCCCCTTAAGAAAATTTTCTCTATATTATCAGGTATAAATAAATAAAGAAAAATTAAAATTAATCGCGTCCAAATTAAAAAAAAATATGATTATAAAAAAAATAATTTTTTTTACATTACTTAAGGAGGATGGTGACTGTCTTTTCGGGGCAGTAGGCGGCGAGAGGGGAATTCACATGCTTTTATATGGGATTAAAACTGCAAATACCAAACAGTAAAAAATTTTTAAAAACATTGTTCTATAATTTGGGCATTCTAAACAACGAGTTTTTACAAATTTCAAAAAATTCTTAATATTTTTATTTGAGTCACCATCCTCCTTAAAAGTTGAAGAAAAACCAAAATTTTTTTTCTTTGACAACTTTTTTCCAAACTCAATACTTTCAAACTTATAAGCTACTGAAAATATGTGTACTTTTAAAAATCCTATAAATTTCGAAAATTCATAACTCGAAAATTTGGACAATAATAAAAAAATAAAAAATACGTGTTTAATATTTTTCTATGAAGAACGTGTGAAAAAAATGTTTAACCGATTTTAAAATGCCACAGAAAAATTTCACGTCGATGAACTGCCCAAATGCAGATACTTCTACATTATATAAAATAAAAAAAGGTACATAAAAAATAAACTAATATTGGATAGTTTCAGTACAAAAAGTTTTTGGTCCAAAATAAATTTTGTTAATAATCAGGAATCCAAGCCTCGCTTATTCACATTTTTTAAATTGTTTTTACTTATTTCACCTACTTTATCAAAAGTTCAGTTTTTAAAAATTTTGCGAATAATTAAATTTTTTTTAATAAACGATAATTTTAATTTCCAACCTTTAAATTATTGAAATTTTTAAAATACATATGTAACTTTGACATTTTGAACTTAATCAATCGTATAATAAATTTAATCAAGTTAAAAGTTCAATTATTATGTTTTTTATTTATTTATATTTATTCTAGAATAAGTAAGCAAAATCTAATATACAATTTTTTTAAAAATTTATTATTGACGTTAATAAAAATTATAAACCTATATTAAATATTTTCAAAGTTGTTTGAATAATTGTTGTCTTTAATCGTAACAAAATTTTCTTCTTATAAATATTTGAATTTTTAAATTAATAAAATGATGTTATTTTTTATTTTATAAGAGAAACTGCATTTTATTTATTTTGATGTCTCAATTCTATAAATATAGAATTAAAAATTAATTTTTAAAAAGTTAACTTATGTTAATAAAAATATATTAATCAAAATTCAAAATAAGCAGCGTAATTTATAAAAACAGTTTTAAGGGGATACTTCGACTACATTTTTATTTATATTAATAAGAAAATGATTAAAATCTTCCAGAAAATTATTTTTATTGTAATTTTTAGAGAGGAAATCAATGGTCAGAAAATAAAATCGGCCAAAAAATATTCTGACCCTTTTTGGATTTTAATTTTTCTTAAAAATTTGTAGATATTAAAATCCATTCGAAATTTTGCAGAAAATATGTTTTTGTATTCACAAAAAAATACCAAATGAAAAAATGACTTTTATTATTTTTGAAGCATTTTTTTAAAAAAAACATTGTTTTTAGATTGAAAATGCTAAAAAAAACATTGTTATTCAATTTTTGTTATGTAGAAATTCACTTATTTATTTTTCTAACTAATTTCAAATCATAATTTTTAAAAATAAAAAGTACAAAACACAACAAAATTATGATATAATTATGATTTGAAATTTGTTAGAAAAATAAACAAGTGAATTTTCGTATAAAAAAATGAATAACAATGGTTTTTTTAGCATTATCAACCTATATAAAAAATGTTTTTTTTCAAAAAAATGCTTCAAAATTAATAAAAATAATTTTTTCCATTCGGCAATTTTTTTGTGAATATATATTTTCTACAAAATTACAGGTAGATTTTAAAATCTGTCAATTTAAAAAAAAAATTTTTAAATGGGTCTGAATATTTTCTGACCCTTTTTTTGCTATAAAAATAATTTTATGGAAGATTTAAATCATTTTCTTGATATAGTAAAAAAATGCATTCGAAGTCTCCCCTTAATAATAATATATTAATATGAGAATATTTTTTATTGTATTAACAAATTAAGATAAATGATCGAGTAAAATAGTTAATATTTATTTTAATTTAATTGAAACAATGATATTGAAAGTGTTGCTCAGTTAATTTTCCAACATTTTTTGTTGGTTATAAACAAAAAGAATATTTAACTTCAAAATTTAATTTTTAAAAAATAATTGTGTGCTAATAACTGGGAACCATTTTTTTAATTTTAAAAGATAATATGTTTGTTAAAAAATATTTTAGTTTTTGAAATTTTTATAATTTTGAAAATAGAGTAAATTTTTTAAATTTAATTAATTTTGAAGATTTTGCTAGCTGTATCATTTGCTGATATTATTCTAATAAAATGTTAAATATGAGGTTCTTTGATCCCTATAATATGTTTTGTCATTTGTAAGTGATGAGTATTCTTAATGAGTCTGCCATTCAGTTTTACAAACTTTAAATTATTTTGCTACTTATTTGCAATTCAACATAGTTATGTCAATTTTCCACTAATTTTTATACTGCGTAATATTGAGTGTTGAAGGAAATTTTTTGTATTTCATAATTGGAAGGATAAATGACTCTACATAAAAAAATTGTTGCAAATAATACTTAATTAAAAACAGACGGTTTATATTACGATTAAAAAAATTGATATATACGAAAATATAAAATATAAAAATGTATATTTGAATTGTTAAAGTCCGAATTGAGCTGAGATTATAGTTTATATATATCAAGATTACACAGTGGTAAAAAATGCACTGTTATGTATAAATTCTGCTGACAAATCTAATCATAATTTTAAAGTATTTTTTTTTTAAATACAATAGAAGGTTTACCCTACAAGTCTATTCGAACAGCAGTTTTTTTTTATTCTTGCAAAATTATCTTTTAAAATTTAATTAAATATACTTCTTTGAATTTTTATTATATATTAATTTTTAATAAAATCTATACACTGAAAAAAATTTATTTTATTCAAATAAGCGATTACTTAACTATTATCAATTAAATATTTACTTGAATCAAATAATTTTTATTTGAGTCAATTAAATTGTATTTGCTTCAAATATTAAGATTATTGGTTTAAATACCATTTAATCGATTTAAATAAAAATTATTTGATTCAAGTAAATATTTATTTGATAATATAGACAAGTGATTGGTAATTTGAATCAAATAAATTATCTTTCAATATTTGCTAGTCTATATTAAATAAATTTAAAAATCACATGACAAGTGCGAGATAAACTTTTACTAAAACCGAAGGTTCCATACACGTACTAAACTTTTCATTTAATTGAAAATTAATAACAATAATAATTATTATTATTGTTAATATAATTATTACTTATTTAGTTATTTTTAAGAAAATTACATTTTTTAAATAATCTATACGTAAAAATATACCAGAACGAATGGACGGGGAGTAAACATATTTTCAAGAATTCATAAAAAAATCAAGAACAAATTTGATTTTTTTAAACATATGGATACAATTTATTTTTAAAATCATTTTTTAAACGAAAGCTGAGATTTTCTCCTATAAGGACATGTAGATGAAAAAATGGACATTTTTCCTTTGAAAATTAGTGATCATTATGCTAAAAACAAACTTTTTGAGCATAAATCACTAATTTTCAAAATTTACATAATTTAGGCCCATTTTCTCATCTACATGTTCCTATAGGAAAAATGAGCCTCCAGATAGAAAAACCACACATAAAATTCTGATGGCTGTTTTGGTTGACCTCTGAAATTAAAAAAAATTTAATTAATTTTTTATAAAAACACAGAAAAAAGGTGGTATAATTTTTGTTGCAGGTAATTTTAACAGCAATATTAATAATTCATATGGATATTGAAGATCTCATTTAACAAAATTTGTTGCAGAGAATTTTTAACCTTTTTTTTACTTAAATCATGGCAAAATGCATACTCTCTAAATTTGAATCAG